CGGGTTTTTACTACAAAACCAGAATACCAAAGTTCGGGAGAGATTTCTCCTACCACTATCCGTCCTGTGACTTGTACTTTGTTGGCGCGAGGTATTGGGGCTGATCACCTTTGCTTTCTCCTTTCCACCTCCAATTTCTGTTCTTAAAATCGAGGAGAGGAATCAAGAGAGGGATAAGACATGGTCCCTCAAAGGGTATAGTTCCAAAGTAACTGCTCATTTAGAAATTGACTTTTATTAGCGGCGTGCTCTGAATCTAGAGCAACATGGGTACCTAATAGCGGTCTTAGTGGTGGTGAAGTCGGTTGCGGAACCCCATCGCATGACATTTTGAAACCTCATTTTTAAATACCACATTCTATATGATGATAAAAATGATAAATCATTTTAGAAAATTGGGAGAATATTTTCACAAGTATGAATAAAAAAACCCCATAATCATGTTGCCTTAATAGTGTTTTATTGTATTTCTTCTCGTCTTATATATACCTATAGATCCATTTTGGATCTTGGATTCTCTGTGTTTTTAAATAATATTCTTCTTAATAAGTTCATAATATTTCCTTGAATGTTTCCTTAAACACGTGAGTTGTTTAAATCACTTTTATACGTGAACAGACTCACAAATAAGGTGATTATTGTTTAGGCTTAAGATACATTTTGGTGTTTTTGGAGAGAAGTAATGCCTTGTAAGCCAGAAATGTATATATGTATGTGTGTGTGTGTGTATATATATATATATATATATATAGGTTTCTAAAATTTATATTTACTTGAAGCAGAGTTCATTGCCATTTACCAGATTTCTAACTTTATTCATTACTTTGCAGCTCTGAAGTTTATAGATTGAATTTAGAACAAGGACGGTACTTGAACCCGCTGCAGACGGATGCTGCGTGAGTGTCTTTTCAGAATCCGGGTGTTTCTCTCGGCCAGGAGGGGGAGCCAGACGCTCAAGTTATCAGATAGCTTGTTGCATTTAAGCAGAGCTCTGGGCAACTTGGTTAAAAAGAGTTTCAATTTGTCTTGAACATAAAATTCACCAGAAGACCTGGTGGTTTCTTTAAACTTTTAATTTTTTTGGCAGACTAGAAAATTTTTATAACTCACTAAGAAGTCCGGTTTATTGTTTTTTGCAGTGTTCTTTAAATTCTCATGATTTTGTTCTGTGATATTAATCTCTCGTGGAGACATTTTGAATTAACTTGGAGCTTCATTTTTAAAATTTTATTTTTTGTGTTTTGCTGGCAGACGTTTTCGGTTTTTTCAAGTTTTCCTTTGATTATACATTATAGTCTACATTTTTGTCTTATTCAAAGAGAAATCCTTAAGAATACATTTGTCATAATCATAATATTGAGTAACAGTAAGGGTGATAATAGTGAAAATACTCTGTGCCAGATATTATTCAGCATTTTATATGTATTAGCTCATTTTATACTTACAACAATTTGGGGCGCCCGGGTGGCTCAGTCGGTTAAGCATCCGACTTCGGCTCAGGTCGTGATCTCGCGGTCTGTGAGTTCCAGCCCCGCGTCGGGCTCTGTGCTGACAGAGTCTGTTTCACATTCTGTGTCTCCCTCTCTCTCTGACCCTCCCCCATTCATGCTGTCTCAAAAATAAATAAGCGTTAAAAAAAATTAAGAAAAAAAAAACAAAACTTATAACAATTTTACGGTAGGTACTATTAGTATCTGCATCTTACAGACAGGACCGCTCAGGCGCAGAGAGGATAAGACCACGGTCACATAGCTAGTAAGGGGTAGAAGCTAGATAGTTCTCCTCCAAGTGTATAAAGAACTTGTTGGGTTTTCCTTATCGCTTTGAAAAGGTTTTTAAAGGTTGGAAGGACATGTGGTGACAGAGACTAGGTAGACCCTGGCTAATGTTTTCACATTGGCTTGCAGCGCTCTTACTCTCTTTAAAAAAAAAAACAAAACTAGAGTAGCTTCATGATGTGTTGTTGAAGAATAAAAAGTTATCTGCTCTTTCGCTGCACCCTTCCCTGTTTATGGGAGCTATTACTTATTTGTCGAGTGTCTTGTCTGGATGCTGTGCTGCACGTTTTGTAAATTTTTTCATGTAACCCTCACACAACCAAAAGAGGTGGGCGAGGTGTCCGTTTTAAAGAAAAAGAAAAGGAAGCCTCGATGAGTCTCCCCGGCCCAAGCTAGTCTGGTCTCAGGACTGGCTTAGTGGTTGCCCGTGTTCTTTCTGCCGGGGGAGAAAACATGGAGAAAGTCAAATGAGCCTCGGTTCTCGTGGTGGGAGATAGTATTTCAGAGGGAATTCCTCTCTCGTCTCATCTGCCTGGCAGATCGAGTGTCCTTCATTTCTGGTGTTTTTTCACGCGCAGGTGAGTGAGGAAGAACTTGCATGTTTTCTTTCTGTACAAGACTGGGCTGTTTATGTAGAAAGTTCACCGAGTATCCCTTCCGCTAAAATAAATAATAAAGCTTTCCGTTGTTGCTTTCCTGTTTTAGGGAGAATAATGTGTGTGACATAAACTCAGCGCATGGCTTGTTTGCCACAGGAACAATAGAGGTAAGCGTATGTTGACTTTATTTTTTTAAATACTTGTTTCACGTTTGATGACGAGTGGAGTTTTACTCAAAGACAGAGTTGCTTGTGGAGCCTGGGGGCCCAGTCAGTTCAGCATCCGACTTCAGCTCAGGTCATGATCTCAGTGGTTCATGAGTTCGAGCCCCGTACAGGGCTCACTGCTGTCAGTGTAGAGCCCACCTTGGAGCCTCTGTCTTCCTCTCTCACTGCTCCTCCCCCTCTCTCTCTCTCAATGAATAAACACCGGAAACAAAAAAAAAAAAGGACCGAGTTACTTGTTCTCAGCAGGGTGCCAGTGGAGCCACAGGCTACTGGTTGCTGCTTGTATGGAACATTGGTACCGCTCCACGGTGTTTCTGTTGCTGCACACTGCCCCCTCGTGCATCTCGTCTGGCTTTGACATCGATCATCAGGAGCTAGACGAGCATCACCAGCTCCACGGGACCAGCGGCTGTGCGACAGCCAGCCTTTTTCTTTTTTTAAATAATTTTTTTTTCAACGTTTTTATTTATTTTTGGGACCGAGAGAGACAGAGCATGAACGGGAGAGGGGCAGAGAGAGAGGGAGACACAGAATCGGAAACAGGCTCCAGGCTCCGAGCCATCAGCCCAGAGGCTGACGCGGGGCTCGAACTCACGGACCGTGAGATCGTGACCTGGCTGAAGTCGGACGCTTAACCGACTGCGCCACCCAGGCGCCCCTGCCAGCCTTTTTCTTAACTGGAGGCACTCTGTCCCGGAGTCCCGGCTCTCTGATACTTACTGGTTTTACAACAGAATCGATTGCCCTGAGGCTTAGTTTCCTCATCGAAGAACTGCAGGTAACACCACCTTGCCAGCTTTATAGAGGTGCTGGTGAGAACCCCGTGAGATGCGCCACGCGGAAGCACCCTACGCTGTAGAGGCGAATGGGATTGTGATTGTGTATCCTGCGTAGTAGCATTCGGGAAATACACAACATTTTCCTTTTAAACTGTAGTGCTTTTGAATCCCTGTTCTTCATGCTTGTCAAGAATTTTCCTAGATTTGCTTTAAAAAATTTTTTTTTTAATGTTTAGAGAGCGAGAGAGAGGGACAGAGCACGAGTTGGGACAGGGCAGAGAGAGAGGGAGACACAGAATCCGAAGCAGGCTCCAGGCTCCGAGCTGTCAGCACAGAGCCCGACGCGGGGCTCGAACCCACGGACTGCGAGATCATGACCTGAGCTGAAGTTGGACCCTTAACAGACTGAGCCACCCAGGCGCCCCTAGATTTGCATTTTTAATTACAATAAATACTCCTAGTAAAAAAAAGGTCAGAAACGTATTATTGAAAAAAATGTCATCTTGTACTTTCCAGTCACCAAATCCTACAGCCAGAGTTAATTCTTTAATGTTTCTTTCCAGGTATATGCAGGTATACGTACGTGTTAGGTATTTTTAAAGTTTTTTACAAAGATGAAATTATATACCGTAGCTCTTCATTTGCTTTTTTTTTAAACATAATAGTATAGACCATGCATCTTTATACATTTGTACTTATTACTTATAATGCTAAACTAATTTTGAAAAACTGATGGCTAGGATTCCTTTGTTAGAATGTACTACAGTTGATTAACCCAATCCCATGTGCATGAAATTTAGGTCTCTTCTCAAGTTATTTATGTATTTATTTAAAGTTTATTTATTTTGACAGAGAGAGGGAGAGACAGAGCATGAGTAGGGGAGGGACAGAGAGAGAGAGAGGGAGACGAAGAATCTGAAGCAGGCTCCAGGCTCTGAGCTGTGAGCACAGAGCCCTGTGTGGGGCTCAAACTCATGAACCGTGAGATCATGACTTGAGCTGGAGTCGGGTGCTCAGCCGACTGAGCCACCCAGGTGCCCCTGTTTATTTAAGTTTGTTCATTTTGAGAGACAGAGAGAGAGAGTACTGTGTGCAATCTGGGGAGGGGCAGGAAGACAGGGAAAGAGAGAATCTCAAGCAGGCTCCACACTGTCAGCGCAAAGTTAACCTGGGGCTCAATCAAACAAACTGAAATCATGACCTGAGCCTAAATCAAGAGTCAGACACCCAGACTGAGCCACCCAGGCGCACCTCTCATCAAATTATTTTTATGTTAAAAGATTAGGATTTGAAATGGACACAGTTGGCCTAATGAAGATATATAAAACTGTGTTGAATATATTATAATAGTATTGTGCCTAAATCAGGCCAATGAAGCATTCTCTTGGTAAGTACTTTTCTTGAGATTACCAAGGGGAGGTTTAATTTAAAAGATTTTCTTCGGAAAAATAGTTTTGTTTTTTTTTTAATGTTCGTTTATTTTTGAGACCAAGAGAGACTGAGCATGAATGGGGGAGGGGCAGAGAGAGAGGGAGACACAGAATCAGAAGCAGGCTCCAGGCTCCGAGCTGTCGGCACAGAGCCTAATGTGGGGCTCGAACCCACGGACCGTGAGATCATGACCTGAGCCGAAGTCGGACACTTAACCGACTGAGCCACCCAGGCGCCCCTGGAAAAGTAGTTTTTAAATAGAGTCCTCACAGACCAGTTTACTCCTTACGATACTTGCCCTGTAAGAGAAGGTGTCCACCAGAGCAGGCTACTCCCTCACCAGCTGTTTGTTAAGCCTGTCCCTGAGGGGAGACTGGACCCGCTCTTGCCTGAAGGCGGGGTTCCTGAAATTCCTGGATTACCGATTACCGGGGGGGCTTGACATTTGGTATGCATAGTCAGACCAGACTTCCACAGTCACTTTTACATGAAGTCGGATATTCCATGTCGGGTTTTTATTTTTGTCAGTGACAGGTGTTGTTACTTACTGTCAGAATCAAACAATAAGGGCTTGCGTTTTGGGCTTTTCGGAGCACGTAAGAGTGTGGGCTCTAGCAACAAATGTTCAAATTTAGGTCACACAGAGCCGTTATGGTTAAAAAAAAAAAAAAGTTTGTATTTACTCTGGAATTTATCTGCATACCTGTTTTTTTGTTTTTGAAATGTGATTTTTCTTTTTTCTGTCCATAAAGTCTGTTAACTCATTTTGAGAAGGCATGAAGGCCAAACCACTTGGAATTGCTTGCTGCATGATGTCTAAGATTCCCTTTATTTATCTTTGTGACAGACACATTTGTAATAACACTAAATGACTCACGAGGTCAAGCCTTTTAAGGATGTTTGAGGTCTTACTTTTCAACATTTATTTATTTTGGGGACAGAGAGAGACAGAGCATGAACGGGGGAGGGGCAGAGAGAGAGGGAGACACAGAATCGGAAACAGGCTCCAGGCTCCGAGCCATCAGCCCAGAGCCTGATGCGGGGCTCGAACTCCCGGACCGCGAGATCGTGACCTGGCTGAAGTCGGGCGCTTAACCGACTGCGCCACCCAGGCGCCCCTGAGGTCTTACTTTTTAAGGTGGTTGTTATAGTAAACAGTTTTTTAAAAAATCTTTGTTTTTTTATCATCACAAAATTAAATAAATACAGAAGAGTAAAAAGGGAGACGCGTAGCTCCCTTTCTGCCTACCCCAATCCTGTTTCCTTACACTTCCTAAACACTGTTAATGATTCACTGTGTCCTCTCAGGGTTTTCTGTGTTAGTACAGTCATTTTTTTTAAAAAGATAGTGGGATCATACCTTTTTTTTTTTTTTTTTTTTTTTTTTATGAGACCAAGGGAGAGACTCTTAAGCAGGCTCCAAGATGGGGGGCCTCAATCCCATGACCCTGCGATCATGACCTGAGCTGAAGTCAAGAGTTGGATGCATAACTCCTGGATTGAGCCACCCAGGTGCCCCCCATACTGTTTTCTTTAAGTAAACTTTTTTTTACCTGACAGATTGTGGACGCATTTCTAGTATATGCACATCTAAGTCATTCTTTTCAGTGATCACGTAGTATTCTTAGATGGGTTATGCCACTTGTTCCCTTACTCTGTTGGTTGCAGTTCTCATTTTGTTTTTTTCATGTTTTGCTTTATTTGCTCTATTTGCTTAATTTCTTGCTTTTTATTTTTAAAAAAATCTGAACATCTGAAAACTTCACTTTCTGCAAAGTTGAAAACATAGTTCACTAATCACTTATATACATTTTGCACATTTGCTTTCTTTTGCTATAAAAATGCATGTGTATTATACGAAATATGTTTTTTGAGCCATTTGGAAACAAGTTGCAGACATTATGATATTTTAGCCCTAAATACTTCTGAAATGTTTTTCTTGAAAGCAGGGGCTTTGGAGCTCCTGGGTGGCTCCGTTGGATAAGCATCCAATTCTTGGTTTCGGCTCAGGTCATGGTCTCATAGTTCGTGGGCTTGAGCCCTAGCACAGAGCCTGCTTCAGGTCCTCTGTCTCCCTCTCTCTCTGACCCTCCCCTTCTCACGTGTGCGCTCTCTCTCTCTCTCAAAAATAAACATTTAAAACAAAGCCCAAGGACTCTCTCCTATAAATCATATTACTGTTATCATCCCTAAGAAATTTAAATTGATACAATAATGTTACATATTAAATACTTAATGCTGATGCAGTATTCAGATATCCCCAGTTATATACCAAAGTGTCTTTTACAGCTCCTCCCCCATCCACCCTCCCAAGCAAACCAAGGTCCAGACAGGGATCATGCATTGCATTTTGGACTTCTTTTCTTAACCAATCATCCATTTTTTTTCTTTCTTTCTTTCTTTCTTTCTTTCTTTCTTTCTTTCTTTCTTTCTTTCTTTCTTTCTTTCTCTTTTCTTTCTTTCTTTCTTTCTTTCTTTCTTTCTTTCTTTCTTTCTTTCTTTC